AGATATACTGGATACATGTGGCGGCTTCTTATCGACCATCTATGCCACTAGTTTTCTGTTCAATATATCAAAGTTTTTATGTAGGAAAGTCTCATAGCCAACTCAGTCAGCAAATCATGTATAAATTCTAGTTCCTTAGTTTGTGGTGTCTTCATAGCTCTACTTTCAAACCATCTAACTGTTGTTAAAATGTATGCAAAGCTCAAGCAATGTGTACATTGACATCTGGAAATTTTTATACACATACCTACCGACAGAATGCAATCTGTTTCGTTATTATCACTGATTGACTAGTTCAGTATGTTCATGTATGCATAAAAATATTACTGAATATTAGAATAAAGCTTGATAAGGGTAGGATTACCGGTTTATCAAATGTTTAGTATGATAATATATCTGAGTATAAAGCAATCGGAAATCTAGTACCCCTTTAAAAAAGTTAAAGGTTATACTAAATTGGCAATTTTTTTCTAAATTATTAATCACCTCAATATTTAATTGAATGGCTTATGCAATTACGCTTAATGACAAATGGTTGAACAACGAAAACTAATGGTAGCTAAAAGTAGTTTCTATCTAATTTGAAATTGTTTAACCCTTTAGCTGGCTATGACTTCGCGATTATTTTTTGCAGTTGGGATACATTAATCATATATATATATATATATATATATATATATATATATATATATATATATATATATATATATATATATATATATATATTAATCTTTGTGAATTTATGTTAGGAAATAATTTGATAATGAGTTGATCGTATACTTTTACAACTAAAATAACCTGCAATCTCATTGAGTGAAACGGAAGCCTGTATGCCTTACTTTTTCCGATATCCTGGATCATTTATATGATGCGTTTTTTAGTAGAAAGTCAATCTAGTAGTTATTTATATATTATGGATGCATCGAATCAGAACAAAATCATACATTTTGTTATGTAAATATCTACGTAGGTGACCGTCAAATTTATTTAATATACGATTGTAATATATGGAGACTATGATGTGTGTTACTATTGGCTGTTGCAACCAGTGGTGATCAAGTAGTTATTTGTAACGTTCCAATGAGAAGAAAAACTACTCATGAAGATATTATAAATATATTATCTTTATAAGCAACAATTTACCAAATGCTCAATCTATTCGAAGTTATCACGTCAAAAAGTGGCAATGACACTTAACCGAGCATTGTCTTGACGGAGAATTCGCTTGTCAGACTTAAAGTACTGCTATAGGGGTTGTGGAGATTATTAAGTTTTTGATTGAGATCATGAACCGATTGATGTTAGACCCCCTTTGGAAATCTGGAAGCACTGGACGGCCGTTTCGTCCTATTGTGGGACTCCTCAACAGTGCACATCCACGATGCCGCTCGCGGGATTCGAACCCAGCAAATCTATGTCGGGTAGAGACAGGTATCTACCTCAGTACAATGGAAGATGGTCGCGCAATTTCATCGGTTGGTTGATGTTAGAGACTATCACCATTGGGTGCCGGCTTAAAGGTCCAGTAGGTTAAGCGTTTGGGAGCGAGACAGAAGGCCTTGGGTGTAAAGCAAGAATATATGATTCAGTCTACAAAGCATTTGCAGCGTTTCAGGCTACAAATTTCTGATTGTTCCCATGTACTATTGTTAGATCTAAGAAATTCTTTAACCTAGGGAAGAAAAACTTGAAAATTTATTTTAGGGACGAGAAATGATCACAACTAGTGTAAGCTAAATACCATCAATAACTTTATGTAATTTCAATACTTTCGGAACTTACATTCATTACACCTACATTTAGAATCATTGTTAATTATTGTAAAAATGCGTTTAATTATACTCTACATCGATAAATTAACTGAACATTTAGAAGATGACGGATAAAAAATCTCTTATATTTTAATCAATGGTAATTATAAATCGTTGACTGTTCCATAATGTTCATATATTGGTTTTTCATTTATTTTATACAAACATTTTTTTCAATGTTTGACATCTGATGATTATTCGATGAAAATTTAAAGTACTGAACATCCGTTTAGAATGGGTCTGAAACATTTTACTAATCATGGCAAACACTATCATACAATTAGCTACAAATGTACAGACATAAACAAACATGTAGAAAAATGAGTGAAAGTATATATGGTTAAAAGTCTTCTTGTTCAAAACACTATGTGTGGGTTTAAATTAATGACTAATAATAATAATATCTAGTGTCCTGTTACCATACAAGATAACCAGACAGAACCCTCATAATACAGATCGTAGAAATTATATGACTGACAAAAAAAATGCAGTTAGAGGTATCCTATTTGTGAGGTCATGGACCACCCACTGCTGGAGAGTCTCACACTAGAACAAAACGGTCGAACAATGCTTCCACGTTTTCACTGTTTGTTCATTTCAGATCGGTTTGTAATTTCAATGTTATTCAACAAATTTATAACTTTCCAAGTTAATGCTTATAAAATAGTATTGCTGAAGTGTTCAATAACAAAAGATTGGATTGGTTGAAGTTGGAAATTAACAACGTTGGATGCCGGCTCAGTGATCTAATAGTTAAACGCTCGCCCGCGAGACAAATAGTTCATGGGTTCGAATGTCTCGGGAGGCGGATCGTGGATGCGCGCTGCCGAGGAGTCCCATACTAGGATGAAACGGCCGTCCAGTGCTTCCAGGTTTTTCATGGCGGTCTTGCTTCAATTGACTCATGAATTCAACTACTAAGCAAAAGAAAGGTTTCGATAGATTTATCTGCTTATCAATGGTATTTTTGACTGAAATCAGTCGTTATTAAGAAAATTTCTAAATAATTTAACTCATTACATTAGTTTTGCATATTCATTAAACTCTTTACTTATTTATATTAATTTCAAATCAAATCATTATTCATGATGAACGCATTCGTTATATTATAAGATATTTATTCTGATCAAAGGTTGTGTATTAAATAAATCTAAATCCTAAATAAAAAACAAATAAATACTAACTATAACAGCTGAGATTTATTTTTAAATTATATTTGTTTATTCTGTAGTTTAGATCATGAGTCAATTAAAGCTAGATCAGCATGGAAAACTTGGAAGCACTGGACGACCGTCTCGTTCTATAGTGGGACTCCTCAGCAGTGCGTATCCACAATCTCTTCTAGCGAGATTCCAACCCAAGACCTATTAGTCTCATGCGTGATCACTCAACCTCTAGACCAATCCACCATGTCTATCCATTTGAACTTCGAATTATTTCCATAACATTAAACACTATACAGAACAATTTATCTTTCAATATTTCCTGGAGTTCTAGTGAGAAGCCGTTACCAGTGGAGTTCAACTTTGGTGTGTGCTACTTATATTGACATAAGTAGTAGATGGTGTTAGTCGTGAATAGAATGTCTGGCAGCAGAGAGACAAGAGGATCGAACAGTAAAGAATGGAAACAGGATGTAATTTGTATGAAAATGCAAGGACAATGAATTCTGAGTCATTTTGAGACAATTGATGGGCATTTTGCAAATTACTTATTTACTATTCGATTGTTAAATTTTTATTAACAAGTCTTGTAACTTTGTGATAAATACAATCGATTGTCCCCACCCGTGTTCTGTTCACTACACAGCAGGTCTGTTGTGAGATAGTAACTCAATGAAGACAATGGTCTACGGTGGCTCAATCTCGTGGATCGGTTGAAGTTAGACATTAACGCTGTTGGATGTCGGCTCAGTGGTATAATGATCAAGCGCTCGCGCGGGTGATGGTATCGTGTATGCGCACTGCTGAGGAGTCGGATACTAGGACAAAACGACCGTCCAATGTTTCCAGGTTTTCCATGTTGATCTAGCTTCCTTTGACTCATGATTTCAACTAATGATATTTTCAAAAATCTTTTGAAATGAGCGTCGTACAAAAAAAACAAAAAACAAACAATTGAAATTAATTATAAAATCACATTAGTAATTATGATTAAAAGTTAATTTCTCCATTCATCTATTTATTTAATCAGATTGCTTACTACAACAATCTATTCCATTCATTTACACTATTGTAATTTGTTTATTCATGCATATCCTTAAAAATCACAAATATCCATTCACTTTTATATTATATAAGATTCTATTTATTTAAATATAAATAAAAATAATAAATATTCTAAAGCAAATTGATAAACTAAACGAAATTCATTTAAACAACAAAACCATTCCATTTCCAAATCGAGATTTTTTTTTCTTTTTCTTTAAACTCTATCTTGCACTTATCACATCATTGAGTTTTATTCCAACTGTCTTCCAAATTAATAGTCTTATTTTATCAACTGAACTCTACTCGTTTTATTCCTATCAATGTTTACTTGTTTCTAGCCGTTTGGACTGTTGTCACAATTTTCTTTTATAAAGCTATTCTCGATTTATTTCCTTACTATACTATACGAATATGTCTTCAATATAACTTCCAATCAAACACTTTCAGGTAAGTAATTTCAACCCATTATATAATTATGATTTTTTAAATATCACAGGTTGTAAGGAGCTGACGAGAACCAACGAAATAAAAATGAATTCATACTATTCTGCTAGAATGTTTGTTCTTGCTCTTTTCAAAATGATAAAGTGAACTATATGTATGAAAGTAAAATTATTCACTGTTTATACCTTGACGTATTGAATATCATTTTAAATTGAGTATAAAGTATATAAAGAATGAATAGAATGAAGAAAGTTTCATTTTAAATTCAGTAAGCAGACCTGTTTTCGATGAATTTGTTGTTAAGCTGTACAATCATATATATGTATATATAAATGTTTTGTTCCATAAAGATATATGAATAAGGAATAAACATGATGATGTAATAGAAAGATTATAATACTGGATTTATGTAATATGGATCATAAGAATAAAATATTGCGTTTGCAAATAGAAAGCTTTACAAAATTAACAATTTATCAACAGATTATATTGTGAATGAAGTAAGATGATTAAAATGTTTTTTGTTATAATAATTGAAGGTAATAGACAGATAAAAAGGAAATGAAGTGATATTATAAATAATTATAAATGAAATCATGAGGATATGAAACATAATTAAAGAGATGAAAGATAATGATTATAATTAAGTGACAATATTAGTTTGAGGCCAAGGCAGTGATAAGATGTACTTCTTTGCCGCGCACAATTTCGGCTTGAGCTCATAGACGGCCAAATCTGTTTCTTTAAGAGGTTGAATATGAAGAAATCTGTCTAAATTTGGACGGATTGTATAATCAATCTTAAATCAATCGGTGGATCGTTAGCGTGATTAGAGTCGATTTAATGTTGAAGAATGGAACTTCTAGATGTTTTACTCTCACCTTTGTAGAACCAGACTGTGACGATTATGTATCAGAGCTGAAAGCAAGCTGTAGTTTATGTACCTTACTTCACAAGAGCAAGGGAACTAGTAGATGAACATGGAGGCTGACAGACAAGTAAGCTTATCTTGAACAGACACAGAAAATAAGTTTCTACCAATAAACATTATTTGCTGTTTTGCTACATAGAACGTTCGTTTTATCGCTGCTGTTAATCGATTTTTGGTTACATAAGAAGTTTGGTCACCTTTAAATTGCAGATTCACATTAAAGTATTTCTTTGATAAGGAATTGACGGATACATTGTCCCGACTTCCTTTTTTATATTCTTCTGTATGAAGCGGATTGGACAGCCAATATTAGTCAGTTTTTCCGAGGAATGTGAGTTCTTCGTTAATGAATTCAGCACTAAATATCTGATGTATTCGGTAACATCAAGAGTGAATAAGATTCTTTATGTTCAGTGGAACCCAGCTACAGAAGTTGGTCGGCTGACCGTTCCAAGTTTCTGTTCTATAAAGGAACCGTTTTTTAGGGTTTGACATTTCAATGTTTAAATATCGGGTATAAATACATAAAATTAATTAGTACCCGTTTACGTTTTTCTACATGTATATAATAAGTTTATTTAATTACTTTAAAAGAAAACTACGTGTCATTTAAAATATTAAAAAGTTTAGCGTTGTCACTATAAAATAACATTGGAAAATTAAAATACTGATATTATCTTACCGTGAACCTACGACATATATGCTACTACAATCCAGAAAGTTATATATATATAATAAAAGGTATCTGGTCGTGTCAATCATTTACAGCGCTTGGCAACAGTATAGTTATACAGCAGCTGATAAGGTATTTCCATACATATATAACTGATTGACACGACCAGATAACTTCTATTATCATAATTATGTACTAATGAATAGTTATAATTAGAAATTTTTTAAACTATTTTTCACTACCTATTATAATAATATTTCATGCCTGGTCGTCACCCATCTTATGATCAATTTCGCTTTAACTATTTTCGATTACAGATAATTACCCACTCATAAACGTCCTTTGATATTGGCTTCTTTATAGTCAATTTATTATTGAAAACCATTCTAATGTGGTTGAATTCGCAAAATTACTCAGCTACACTTTATTTAGTTACAAATTGCTGTATTCGAGAACACTATATTCAGATTATTGTTGATGACAATCTTTTAGTGAAAAAACACCACTGTTTTATTACTATTTGAAAAATAATCTCTATGTAGGTGTTCTGTGTAAATGTTCTTTTAAATTATGAAAGTATAAACTGTTATTCATTCAGTAATGTTAAACTTATTATAAGTTCAGCTTTAATTAAATTTACCGTTTACATTGTATTACCATAGTGTCTTGTTCACAGGTTTAAACACAACAATTTTCGCCAGCCTAAATGATATGTCGAACTAATTAATTGAATTAGTTAAGCAGAAAATAAAATTATCCTTGTGTATATGTAAATTTATCAGCTTTCAGATACGAAAGTTCTTGTTGTAATTAGAAATCTATGTTTGTGGACAAGTAACCTATCATCATAACCCAGAAACAGTTACTAACTTTTTCTAGTTTATTTTGCGTGATATATATGTTCTTCACAGTTACATAGAAATTATATGCACGTCACTTTTGGTAATTTTCTATTTTCATGATAACTCATAACTTGAATTAGCATAACGGAACAAATTACGTTCCGTTTCCACATGATATGTAAGAAAATTGATACCAATCTTCATCTCAATGTCTCTTAACAACCAGATGTATCATATGGCAACAGCAAATTTTTTTCTAAAAATAAAATAGGAACACAAAAATGAAAATTTCGACATCCAATGAAGATTATTTATGCTATATAGAAATCACGAACGGATTAGTTTTAAACCTCGATTGAAGTCCTGGAAGCACTGGACGGCTGTTTCGGTCGATTACCTGCGGAGTTTTACCTTGTGGTATGTGGGGCTGTTACCCATTGAAGACAATGGAAGATGGTCGTACAATATCATGCACTGGCTGAAATTGAGTAATAACAGTGATTGTTGCCAGCTCATTGATCTAGTTACTAAGTGTACATGCGAAATTTCTTCTATCTATTCGTTGTTTTACTAAATATAAAAATAAGAATGTTCATCATACTTAAGTGCATGGATTGCAGATCTTATTGTTTAATTATTGCTTTCTATCCAAGAGAATGTTTCTAGTCTCTGTATAGTTTAAAATTATGTAAGTTTAAATTTGTAGATAAATGAAGAACACATTTTTTGTTCACCTGTAAATTCGCACATTATTTTTGAATTATTTCTTTCCTAATTTAGATAATATAACTATTGTTCCCTTGAATTTTATAAAGATTTAACATTGATTCTTCAGTAGTCAAGTAACATCAAGTTGCGGAATACATTATTAGAAGTATAAATTATATATACGTATATACATACTATGTTTAGAATTATGCAGTTACGAAAACTGAAGCAATCATGGACTAATATATATTCTAAAATCACTAGTAATTTTTTTAGAATTTCGTTCCGTAAATGATCATTTATGTTTTAATACGAACGATTTGTTTCTATGACACTTTGGTTGTAAATTTATAACTTAGCCAAAAATATTCCTTAAGCATGCATTTAACACTTCAGTAATTAAAGGGTCGTTAAACCTTTTAAACCACTACAGTTTTTTTTAGAAAACAAACATATTTCAACATCAATCTGAATTTTGTATTCAACATTGTGGATTCAAATTTCCTACTAAGTCATTTTTAAACTGAGTTCGATTGTTCATCACTTCACAATGTGTGTTTCAACCAATAGTATTGATTGCATTTGATATAACATTTCTCATATGACCGGCATTACGATGTCATCAAAACGTTGATTCGCCTATGATTTTACTCGGAATTCCAAATGATTTAGCCAACTATGATTTACATGGGTTACTTTTAATCAACAATATTCCTGGATTATATACACATTTCATACTAATGTCATCAACGTTTAACCTATGATAATTTGAAAGTCATAGTAGGCAAATAAAGTTTTACTATCAAATAACCATTGGAAGTCTTTCAAAACTATTACATTATCTGAATATCATTCTATCGAATAATATATGGCTTGTGATTAATAGTCGATAGAATCAGTTGTATAGTATCATTAACAAAAACATGTCAAACTGACAGTTATAGATACTGTGAAATAACTTTGATCACAAAAAGAGATCACTTAATAATTGCAAAATGCGTTGAAACATTTATTATTAAACAAAATGGATATATAAAACATTATTTGATCAATTATTGTATCAGTTATTATGTCAATGAGACAAATGTTCCAATTACGAATGAAAATTCCATAAGTGCAAAGTGACACGTCGTATGTTTTACTATAGAATAAATAAAAATAAATTACCATTACATTATAAGATTATTTGACAAACTATATATTCGTTATTTGAAAAAATCTCTTAAAGATCTAAGCATCAACGTTATTCTTCTTCATTTAAAACAATTTGACGGAGAAGCTTTGGAAGATGTAGAAACCTTTACATATCTGGGTAGCATCATTGATGAACACAGCGGATCTGATGCAGATGTGAAAGCGCGGACCGTAAAAGCAAGAAAAACATATCCAAAACTGAACAACATCTGGAATTCAAAACAACTGTCAACTAACACCTAAGTCAGAATTCTCAATACAAATGTCAAGAACGTTTCACCGTATGGAGAGAACACTTGAAGAACCATGAAAGACATCATCCAGAAGATACAAGTGTTTATTAACAGCTGTCTACACAGAATACTTCGGATCCGCTGACCAGACACTATCAGCAATAACCCACTATGGGAGAGAACAAAGTAGATTCCAGTGGAGGAAGAAAGCAGGAAGAAGCGTTTAAATTGGATAGGACACACATTGAGGAAAGCACCCAACTGCGCCAAAATGCAAGCCTTCACTTGATATCCTCAAAGCCAAAGAAAAATGAAGACAGACATGAGAATTATGAACAAAAATTGGATAGAACTAGCAAAGAAGGCCCAGAATAAAGTGGGTTGGAGAATGCTGGTCGGCAGCCTATTCTCCATTAGGAGTAACAGATATAAGTAAGTAAGAGAGGAATCACGTTATTTGTACATTTTCCTACATTACTGAAATACTTGAAAGCATTTTTTTATAAAATAATATTTAATTAAAAATTGAACAGTAAATTTATTGATTATGGTTGAAGCTTTTTGCATTTCCAAACGTCTAAATTTATCCATGCTGGTAATACACCTTACATTTTTTTAACACTATATCCTTCTTCGTAAACTTTCGATGTGTGAATCCAAAACGTTTGTGTTTTCATTTTATCAACAAGAGATAAATATCTAGCGCGTCATCTAATTAGAGTATATTAAAAACCACGATGATAAATTAAGTGTCCGTGTTATAAAACTAATTGAATGGATATAATTTACTTGTTTATTTATTTTGGTTAATTCATACAACAGTGATTACAGAGTAGATGTATGATAAATTCGATTTATACTGAGATTTCCTGTGATTCTATTACACATGGATTTCAACATTATTAAATGTATTTTATACCAACTTATGATTAAAATGTATTACCAGTCAATCGTTGTGTTTACCAATTTTCGTCAAATATGTAACGAGTTACTGAATTATTTTAAAATTAATTTAAACATATTGTACATATATCAGTAGATTGAGTAACGTAGTGAACAGAACACGGGTGGGGACAATCGAATTATATTCAGCATCAAATTACAGAGTTACTTGGTAAAATAGAAAAACCATATTATAATACGGAATTTGGAAAATTTTCAATAATTGTCTCGAACTTCGTTGTTCTTGCATTTCCATACTAATTGTTTTCTATTCCCGCTCTTCTATTGTATATCTTCCCCATCTTCTGCCGCCAGATATTACACTCCTGACTCGCGTCATATATTACTTATATCAATATAAGTAGCACGCACCACAGTAACAATAATTCAGCACGCCATTACATATTGAGCATACATTATCATTCCTATTGCGTATTCTAATGTTTTACACCATCTTGAGATGTTAAAACGATTTCACTTTTTTACGTATAAACTGTTTCATATATATTTTTTTGTATTGAATATATTAAATCTGATTTATTGTACACTTTATTTCCTCTCTTTACTGTCAATGATTTCTTTCGGTCAATGAAACTGACAAATGTATTAATGACAATCTTTGTGACTATATTATTAATCAATAAATTAATCAAAAATAATAATTTCTCATTTTGTCACTGATGACAATAATGTTCTGTGTGTTATGTCACAGTGAATTGTTTGGAAAAATGTCATTATTAATCTTATTTATGTAAAGCAAGCTTACAGCGTACTGAGAGATAAAAGACAACTTTACGTCATACCAATACATGAAATATTTCAGTTTCCTTATTTGCTTTGTTTTAAATCACGTAACATTTAAAATTACTTT